CCTAGTCCTCAGTATGCTACACTAACAGGCACACCCATGTACACACACACCACATCCCCAGGAAACATTGAAGAAGGCAAGAAAGACAATTATATATAATCAGCATCACCCCTCCACTAACCTAAGGTAGAACCGTATCTAGAGAACATTTGGATGGGGTAAGAGGAGGAGATAAGTCAAGCAATTTGCATTGGTCAATAAGACTGAATTGGTCACAGGAAAATTCAGCAGTAGACAGTCTCATAGCACCTGACACTAGGCCAGTGCTTGTGGACCAAGCCTTCAGATCCCATAGCCCCAGAGAGATGGACTCAAATTCCAGACTGTAGTATTTCTGACTGAAGACAGTAATCTTGGGCTCTGAATAGCTAACTCCTAGTGGTAGGCCAAACTTAAAAGACAGGCTTTAATTTTAGTTTGCAGTTGTGCTGGCTGCAATGATCCTGGGCTTAGGACCCCTCTTAGCAGAGCAATAGCTACAGCAAGTCTGCCTCGATATTCTAGGTGAGTTTATTACTACAGGACATAACCAGACAGAGGTAGACTTCAAAGACTGGAATAGCTGCTGTGGTGGTTTGAACAACAAAGGCCTATATTGACTCGTTTCTGAATATCTGGTCTCCAGTTGGTGGAACTATTTAGCAAGAATTAGGAGGCATGGCCTTTTGGAGGAGGTGTGTCAATGAGACATAGATGGGATTTGGGGTTTCAGAGGCCCATACCATTTCCAGTTGGCTCTCTGTCTCTAAGTCGTGTTTGTGGATCAGATATAATCTGGCCTAGATTCTGATGCAGATATAATTCCATTTCATCCTACTACAAAGTCAAAGATTCATTAGGTGTCTTATTGTTTTCTCTTTTCCCCTCATAATTTTAGTCCTATTTTCCTCAGATCTCTTAGGAGACCCTGATAATTACATGTCAGCCAGCCTACTCAACATCCCTCCTCACACTGCATCTGAATGGAATTTGCTATTTGCCATATTCTTTGATCCACCAAACTGGGATGCATACTAACTCTAATCTTCTCAATTCTCAAACTTCTTCCTATCCCTCCATACCTCATAACAATGTAGCCTTATATTCTATCCAATCATCCAATCCCTATGCTGAGTCATAGGAGCTCATCTACTCATCCTCCCATGAATTGGTGGGTAACCCATAGAATCCCCATTCATTATTATTTGTCAATTAGTCTCCATCATTCATTTTCCATTATCCCAATTTTAATTCCAATTTCTGACCTAATCAAAAATGAAATCTTAAAATGAACCTAACATCCCAACTGCACACTAATTACTTTAATCTTATAAACCAAAAATGAAGAATGAATCTTAGGACATCAAGAAAGTAGGTAACCCCTCTGCTGTCCCCAAAGCTGATATTCTCCTTAAAATACTCCTTGTTTAGTAGTTCTCAAGCTACTGCTCCAGGACCATGCCTGCCGGCCAACTACCACAGTCTCGGCCATGATGGCCATGGACTCTAACCCTCTGCAGCTATGAACCTCAGGTTAAAAGTTTTCTATATAAGTTGCCTTGGTCATGGTGTTTGGTTATAGCAATAAAAAACAACCAATTCAGCTACCTACTTCCTGAATGTGCATACACAAAAACTTGATCATAAGGATCAAGAATAATCAGGGAAACAGTTTCTCCAAGCAGACAATGGCCAGCTCTAGTGTGACAGAGGGATGGAAGGTTTGGAAAATACAAAATGACAATTCAAGGAAGCTTATCAAACTGTGAGAAAATGAATATAAACAGTTGAGAAACTAAGAGAAATAAAAAATAAATGGAAATACAGGAGCAGAAAATTTCAAGGAACAAAATGGACACCACAATGAAAAGCAGCAACAGCAGAACTGGTCTAGCAGAAAGATGAATTTGCAGACTTAAGACAAGGGTTTACAAGCATAGTATCCCAGAATAAGAAAGAAAAGGGATAACATGGAATGAAAAAGGCCTACAGGACTTATGGGGCAGCATCAAAAGAGCAAAGATATAGCATTCATTTAAGATGGGGCAGAAAGGAACCAAGGCACAGGAATCCTACAAAAAAAATTATGGCCAAAAACATGGCTCTGCAGGATGTCATTGCCATGAAAGCATCAGGAGTTGAGTTCAGATCTCCAGAACCCACATTTTTGTCTTTAATAAACTAAAGTGCTTTATTTATTCAATAGTATATAATGGTATATAATGGTCACACTTAAATAGACTCACACATCCCCAAATAGATAATATCATTTTACAATATGAATAAAATAAAGACTGAAGACAATTGGGTATGTATATCTGAAAAGCATGATAAACAATATTTGTTTCCTCATAGACACAGGGTAAAGGTGGGGCACAGCAGAGAAGTTGTGGCTGGGGTCTCTACCTGCACATCACCGGAGAGTGGCTAACAGGGGCTTTGCTTGTATATATTGGGATTCTCCCCTCCCTACTCTTTCCCCAGTGCGGAGGATGGAATCCAAGGTCCAGCAAGCAGCATCCAGCACACCCAGGGCCCTCAGGTTTTATAGCACTCTTCTCTGACCACCCATTTTTCAGAAGCTAAGTGCAGTGTGCCTCTGTAACATGAGTCTGAAAACCCAAAATGACATGTCTCTGCATGCAACATCCAGCTTTGTGCTCGTCTATAAATTCATCTTAGTTTTCTGAACCTTTGATTTTCTTCCAGTTAATTAGTTATAACATCTGAAAATTGACATTTTCTAATGAATGAGTAGCAGATGTTTTGAAAGAAAATCAGAAATTTGTGGATTTTAAAGAGAAGGATTAGGTTAAACTACAAAAGCTTTGCTTCTGATGCTACAGAAGGTAGGCCTCATGCTATAGACGGGAACAGACAATGGAGAACTTTGGGACGGCTACCGCTTCCTGGCATCAGGAAATAGATGTAGTGTTAAGAAGTGGTGCACCACCTAGATGCCCCTCAACTGAAGAGTGGATAGAGAAAATATGGTACACTTACACAATGGAGTACTACTCAGAGGAAAAAAAATGGAATCTTGAAATTCAAAAGCAAATGGATGGGACCAGAAGAAACCATCCTGAATGAGGTAACCCGATCACAAGTAGACAAACATGGTATGTACTCTCTCATGTATTGATTTTAGACATAGAGCAAAGAACTACCAGCCTATAATCCACACCCTCAGAGAAGCTAGGAAACAAGGAGGACCCTAACAGATACATACATGGTCCCCTGGTGAAGGGGAAAGGGACAAGATCTCCTGAGCAAATTGGGAGCATGGGGGGAGGGGAGAGGGAGTTAGGAGAAAGAGAAGGGGAGAAGAGGAGGGGGAGGAGGACAGGAGAGAGCAGGAAGATTGAGTCAGGGGAAGAATAGAGAAGAGCAAGAAAAGAGATACCATAATAGAGGGAGCCATTATAGGTTTAAAGATAAATCTGGCACTGAGGAAATGTCCAGAGATCTATAAGATGACACCAACTAACAATCTAAGCAATAGTGGAGAAGCTACCTTAGATGCCCTTCTCCGATAATGAGATTGATGACTACCTTATACGACATCCTAGAGCCTTCATCCAGTAGCTGATGGAAGCAGAAGCAGACACCCACAGCTAAATACTGAGCTGAACTCCTGGAATCCAGTTGCAGAGAAGGAGGAGTGATGATCAAAGGGGTCAAGACAAGGCTGGAGAAACCCACAGAAACAGCTGACCTGAACAAGGGGGAGCTCATGGGCCCCAGACTGATAGCTGGGAAACTTCCAGCATAGAACTGAACCAAACCCCATGAACATGGGTGTCAGTTAGGAGGTCTGGGCAATCTATGGGGCCTCTAGTAGTGGATCAATATTTATTTGTAGTATAAAAATAGACTTTGGAAACCATTCCACATAGAGTGATACTCTCAGTCTAAACACACAGGGGAGGGCCTAGGCCCTGCTCCAAATTATATGACATACTTTGAAGATCCCCCATGGAAGGCCTACCCTCCTTGGGGAGCAGAAAGAGGATGGGATAGAGGGTCCATGGGGGACAGGGGAGGAGGGGAGGGAGAGGGAACTGGGATTGACATGTAAAACAAGCTTGTTTCTAATTTAAATAAATAAAAAAGTGTTGTGCTCTTAATCCCAATATTCGGGAGGCAGAGGCAGAAGAACCTCTGTGAGTTAGAGGTCAGCCTGGTCTGCAGAGTGAGTTCTAGGACAGACTCCAAAGCAATACATAGAAACCCTGTCTGGAAAAATGAGGAAGAGGAGGAGGAAGAAGGAGAAGGAGGAGGAGGAGGAGGAGGAGGAGGAGGGGGAGAAGGAGAAGGAGAAGGAGAAGGAGAAGGAGAAGAAGAAGAAGAAGAAGAAGAAGAAGAAGAAGAAGAAGAAGAAGAAGAAGAAGAAGAAGAAGAAGAAGAAGAAGAAGAAGAAGAAGAAGAAGAAGAAGAAGAAGAGTTGGGGCCTCACAGGGAACTGGCAGGATATTATGGGAGTCTAGTCTCTTTTCTCTTGCCCAACACAAGATGAGCAGCTTCCTCTTTCTTGCCCAGGCTCCCATCATGATGTTTCAGCTTGCTGCATCCCAAATACAGCAGGGACAACTGATCATAGGCTGAGATTTCCAAAGCAGCGAGTCAAGATAAATTTTCTGGGTTTTTTTTTGTGTGTTTTCGAGACAGGGTTTCTCTGTATTGTTTTGGAGGCTGTCCTAGAACTCGCTCTGTAGACCAGGCTGGTTTCGAACTTACAGAGATCCACCTGCCTCTGCCTCCCGAGTGCTGGGATTAAAGGCATGTGACACCAATGCCCGATTTAATTTTCTGCTTCTTAAGTTGACCATTTCAGGCATTTTGTAAGAAAAAGGCGACTCACTCAGGGTGACACACTTTGGAAAGTTCAGGGGTGCAATGCAGAGGAAGAAACAGGGACAGGTTAGGTTTGCTGCATTCAGATGAGTTGACACTGAAAATACCAACAACGGCAGGTTGGTATGACTGACACCATTTGAGCATTCGTAAGCATTGGGATTTACCTGCTGTAGATCTGTTAGTAAGGCTCGCAAAACCCTCCGAGTCATGCGGGCTCGGGAGTCATCACCTCTCCTGTTGTTTTCTGCATAGAGCTGAAAAAAAGCTAGACATGTGAAGAGAGAAGAAAATATTTAGTTAAGTCCTTGTGTCTTTAAAGAGTATGTGCTGTGAGGCAAGTTTCTTTGCGAGTATAGGATAAATGTGGAGTTATATTTTTGTTGTTGACTTGTTCCTATGAAGGCCTTCAAGTATAATCCATCAATAACTAATAACCCATACCCCCCTCGTAATTATAGACCTCAGTGGTGGAGGTTGGTGAATAATGGTAGGGTGATGGTCCCAATTAATTAGTGGTTTCTAGATAATCTCTAAAAGCATAAATGTCAACGGCAGCCAAGCAATGCAAAACTGGAGAGCATAGATTTTTGTTTTTGTTTTTGTTTTTTTGGTTTTTATGAGACAGGGTTTCTCTGTATTGTTTTGGAGGCTGTCGGTCCAGCCTGGCCTCGAACTCACAGAGATCCGCCTGCCTCTGCCTCCCGAGTGCTGGGATTAAAGGCGTGCGCCACCACTGCCCAGCCGAGAGCATAAATTTTTAAAGAAAATCCTGGGACCCTCACAACTGTAAGCATTTTTCTTAAATATAAATAAGATAGGGACTAGTGAGCTGGCTTAGCAGTCAAGAGCACTGGCTGCTTTTCCAGAGAACCTGGGTTTGGTTCCCAGTATCCACAAGAAGGCCCATGGCCATCTGTAACTCCAGTCCCAGGCCTCCGCAGGCACTGCACTCCTGTGGTACACAGGCATACATGCAGGCAAAAATACCCCCCAAATGAAATTATAAGCTCAAAAACCAACATAAAACCAAACCCAGCCAGCCATGGTGAGTGCATGCTGAAGAGGAAGTCATTGTGATTCAGAAGCCAGCAGAGAGGATGACACACTGGAGGCTGGGAAGACACCACACTTCAGAACACACAACTTCTACAACGTTACCTCTGTATTTTGTAAGAGGGCTGTCCCCTGAGAGGGCAACCAGAGCAGCAGCCACGGGCCGAAGCTTGAGAACACCCGATCCTGTGCTGTGGTGTACAAATGATAGACAAGTGTGAAGAGGGCAGGGTTATTTAGATGAAGTGATTATTGGATGTTTCTCACTGTTTGCTTGTTCCTATGAAGGCCTTCCAATCCAGGCCACCAATGGATATTTCATAAATGATACCATGCTGCTAGCTTCTTATGGTCTCTTCATATATTTAGAACTTGACAGAACAGGGCATTGAGTGAAAATGTTTTCCCTATTCATTTATCCATCAGTTCATTCGGTAACTATTTACTGGATGCTTTCTGTGATAAATACAGTGCCAGGGGCTGGGTGTGCAGACATGGAGTGGGGCAGTCTTACTCTCTTAGGATTCATCTGCCTGCATTCCATATAGCAAAGACGAGGATAAAATAAAAAGCATAACCGGGTGGTGGCAGCATATGCCCTTAATAACAGAACTTGGGGCGGGGGTGCAGAGGCAGGAGGATCTCTGTGAGTTCGAGGCCAGCCTGGTCTACAGAGTGAATTCCAGGACAGCCAGGGCTATGCAGAGAAACCATGTCTCAAGTAAATAAATAAATAAATAAATACATAAATAAATAAATACATAAAAAGTAAATAGTATATGCCATCTCCAAAAACACTTGGAGCTTTAGCCTAGATCCTGATTGTGGTCTACACATTAGCTGTGTAGCTTTCAGTCCTGGACAGATGATTTATCAAAGGTAGGAAGGCTGTTACAGACAAGCACACAACTGAAAATATACTCAAAGGATTAAAGTTTAAAGACACCGAAATCATGACAAGATAACTCAAGAATATATTTATCTATTACTTGTGAAGTTGGAAAATAATTTGCAAAGTAAGAAAGAAACAACTATAAGGAATTTGCATATGACTTATGCTGTGCATGCCTCCCAGAGTCATGTCATCATCATCTCATTGTCTTCTCTTCCTCCTTCTCTTCCTCTTCCTCCTCCTCTTCCTCAAACTAACCAAGAAAGGGCAGAAAAATTCCCTACCTTAGCAAAGCACACACTATACACACACACACACACGTGCCCACACACTACACACACACAAGTGCCCACACACTACACACACACATGCCCACATACTATACATACATGTGCCCACACATTGTATACACACATGTTCTCACAAAGATTTACAAACCCACCATCTCCAGAGAAGGATCTACTTTCTGAGAGAATACAAACTGTTGTCTGTGCATTGGATATCCAGATCTATCCCAGTTAAAAGCTCAACTAAGCCAAAACTTCGAAGAAAATAAATAAGAAAGGAAAAGAAAGAAATGAACAAAAAATATGCTACTGGGGTGTGAGGAACCAAGTGTAGTATATGCAATCCATCCAGCTACCCTTCCAAAGGTGGGGCCTCTGCTCTGGCATGGGAATGAGTTTGCAGAAAAGAAAGAGATCCCTGCTTCTAGCTATCTGTGAGTCATTTGTGTGACTGACAGTTGGGAAGACTTTGTTTTTACTGACTGAGTAATGAGTCAGTTAGTGACAAATAATCAAGCCAGTCTCAAGTGAACATTAGACAGAACCAAACGGCCAGTGGCCAGAGACCTTGTGGCAGCCTCCACATCCTCACCTGTCATACATGGCCATGAGAAGGCTCAGAGTGAGTTCCGGAGCTCTTGGATGCACTTGTGCTGGCTTTCCCATCCCAGTTCTCTGAAACAGCACCTGGAGCTCCTGAAAGAGCTGATGTATAGAAAGGGAGATCTCCATGTTCTCCCCAAATCGTTCACACAATAGAACTTGCTGAATCAAGGAGCTGTCCATCAAGTCCACTGCAGGAAGTGAAGGAAAGATGGAGCCTTACTTTCTGATGAGTGTAAATGTTTTCAGACACAGCAAATATCTCCTGGTGTTTAAGTGAGACTATTTCTTTTTTTTCAGCGGTGGCCATTTTTTTAAGGGAACTAAATATGCCCACTATGGACACAGATCTTCTTTGTGTGTGATTCTGCCATGAATATTCTGGCAGTCAATGTGATTTTGGAAAACTGTGTGCCATTAAGGCAGGGAAACATTATTGCTAGAACAGTTGCCTGAGTACAGTTTTATAGACTGAAGATAAAAAGAGACAGAAACTTGGCTGTGGTTCTCTGCATTTGCTTCCATCAGGTACTGGATAGAGGCTCTATGATGACGATTAGGGTTGTCACCAATCTGATTACAGGAGAAGGCCAGTTCCAGTATCCTCTCCACTATTGCTAGGAGTCTTAGTTGGGGCATCCTTGTGGGTTCCTGGAGGTTTCCCTGGCACCAAATTTCTCCTTAAACACATATTGGCTCCCTCTATCAACATCTCTGTCATTACTCTTGCACTCCATCCTGCCTGATCTCTCATGTTCCCATCCTCCTCTCCCCTTCCCTCCTCCCCTCCCACCCTTACTTTACCCAGGACATCTCAGGAGGGATTATATGAGCAACGGGGGTCAAGACCATGATGGGGCAACCCACAGAAACAGCTGACTTGAGTTTGTGGGAACTCACGAGTCTGGATGGACAGCTAGGGAGCCGGCATAGGACCAACCTAGGTCCTCTGTGTGTGGGTGACAACTGTGTAGCTTGGTCTTTTGTGGAGCCCCTAGCAGTGGGACCAGGACCTGTTCTTGATGTATGAGCTGACTTTTTGGAACCTGTGGTGGGATGCCTTGTTCAGCCTTGATGAAGAGGGGAGGAGCTTGATCCTGCCTCAACTTGATAAGCCATGTTTTGTTGATTCCCATGGGAGGCCTTACCTCATCTGAATGGAGACAGAGAGGAGTGGATGGGGGAGAGGTAGAAGGGAAGTAGGGAGGGAATGGAAGGAGAGGAGGGAGGGGAAACTATGGTTAGTATGTGAAATAAAATTAAACAGACCCTGCCTCCCAGACGATCAAAGAAAGATCAGAATAAATGATGTAATAGAAAAGAAAAAATGCAGAAACTTGAAGAATATAAATCTAAGGAAGTTGAAACTCTGTGGTGATGAAGTGGGAGAGATATTATTTTCACTGTGCCCAAGGAGGACTTAACATTGGCCTTTCCTATTTGAACACAGCTTTCCTGTCTGTTGCCTAGCTTCAGAGGATACAGTGTATTGGAATGGTGTGTACGCAATTGCCATCTTAAAAAAAACTAACAACATCCTAAAAGCAGTGTCTGAATTACCCTACTGTAGGTTTAGTCTTCGACAATGTCACTTTTTAGAAATCTTGGTTCCTTCAATATTATTATCTAGAGACAGCACTTCATAAAACCAAGGCTACTCACAAGAACAGTGGTTCATTTCTCACGGGCACATATCTATATTGCTATCATGTAAAAAGTTTACAAGGTAAGGAATGGAGAGAAGAATGAAATCGAGCTAGCCCTCTAGCTTCATGCCAACAGAGGGTGACAGACAGAATTAATAAACCCTCCCTGTACCACCTAGGAGGTGGGAATGTCAAGATCCCCAAGAGCTACTAGCATTTAAAACACTTGGGCCTGTGAAATGATAAAACGCTGTACCTCTCACTACTTCGTAAATCACCCTCACAGATAAAAGATCTACCAAGCATAATAAAACTTTTTATTTGTTTTCTGATATTGCTGTGAAAGGAAGTGTCTAAGGCAGAGGGGAGCAGGCTTCAGGAACAGGGTTTAAATACAACTGGGCCTTGGTCTGTAAACTCTTTCATCATTGATCACAAGCCCCTATCTCCTGGGCCTGGCACTTGGAATGCTGGGGGTTCCTGTCAATGGTGAGAATTCTATAGTATAGCCATGCAGATAAAAGTGCTGTTCATTAATCTCACAAGATTCAAATAGTGATAGTCCTGGATCCTCTTACTTGGAGCTCATGTGATACTTTATCTTGGTGTTTGGGATTTTTTGTTTGTTTAAAAAAATTCTGGTCCACCTTTCCTATTGCTGTCAGTGAAGCAACATATAGGTGGGTTGCTCACAATGGGTTCTCTTGACCCCCATCCTCTTATATGTTATCACCCATTTAAATGCACAGGCCCAGCCTTCCTGATCCAAGCAGGTACATGAGTAGGACAAGTTTTTATTTTTTCCCATGAATTGAACATCACACATCATCAAGATCAGATTGTCTTGAGTGTCACCAAAAAGTTATACTTACATTGGCAAAGAGTTTGCATGGATCGTAACTTGAAGGCTGTTCTATAGACAGAATTCTCAATCCTATTAAGAGCACCTGCAGAGAAAACATGAAGTATGGTGGATTGATGTTTAGCTCATTGAATATATCCCACATCATGGGAGGGAATTGGAGAGCTCCTGTAGCCTTATTTTGTGTTTGAGACAATTAGGATAGATAGTATGCTCTTCTACCTGTTAGTAAAAGTCATGTGACAGTTTCACAGCATAGCTTTTTATTGTCTCATGACAGATTTCTTGTCTGGTAAGACTGGTGATCACTCTTCACAGTTAGCGAAATTTAAGATTGCAGATAATCTCCTCATGTATTCATGTTGGTAATGCAGTTCAATAGAACCTTATAAGGAGCCGGGCCGTGGTGGCGCACACCTTTAATTCCAGCACTCGGGAGGCAGAGGCAGGTGGATCTCTGTGAGTTCGAGGCCGGACTGGACCGACAGCCTCCAAAACAATACAGAGAAATCCTGTCTCGTAAAAAAAAAAAAAGAACCTTATAAGGTCTTAAACATGAATTGCTCAATTTATTTTAGGCAGCTGAAATTGCCTGCTCAGGCTGGTTATTGATGGTGCAAGGCAGTGGTCCTCAGAATGTGGTCTCCAGCCCAGCCACATCTGCATCACCTGGGGCTGGTTACAGATGCACACCCTAACATGGCTGTAGCATGCTGTCAACACGCTTCAGGGGCAGGCACAGTACTGTGCACATGAACAAGGACTCGAAGTAGATGTGATATAAGCTAAAGTTTTAAAGTTTCCTATACAACTATACAAAATGAATTTATTGATTCTAGAACAACTGTATAAGGTCCAGGGAACTTGCAAATGACTTTTAGAAATTATCAATAGACAATAAGCTCATCTAAACATCTTGGTATCAGTTACCATGTCTTCCCTTCAAACATATGAACATATGTATAGATTAGGGTTCACAAATAGAAACAGAAAATAAAATTCAGTCTATTATCTATGCCAAATCCATTCAGTGGATACTGACTTAGTTGAAGACTCTTTTGACAAGGTCTGTCAAGGAGACCCTACCTTGTTTGCAACAGGATAGAAAGTCAAATGGTTATCCTAATGTCTGGTATTTTATTTATTTGCTTCAGATGGGTGGTTTATTACAGCATGGATATAGGATAATATTGCACTTCCTCCTCCTATTTTAGCAAGAATGTCAATATTGTTTAACATATTATCAAATTATTCATGATGTATTTTATCACATAAAGTTTACATTTGTGGTACATCTCAATTCACAGTAGTTCTATGTCAAGTATTCAAAAGTCACATGTGGTTAGAGACTGTGTATTGGCAGCTCAGCTTTAGAGAATGTTTGGGAAAGAAGCTACATGGGGTACTGACCAGGTTCCCAATTGCTGTTAATGCATCTTGCTGAACAATATCGCGTGCATCACTTGGGTTGCCTGAGTAGAGTGTAGTTAGTGAATAGAAGGTAGGGCTAAGTAATAGCTGTGTGAGAAGCACAGTCAGTTAATTGACTGAAGAGGAATAGAAATCCAGAAAGGAACATAAGAAAGAAAGCCAAAGATATTGGGAGAAACGGCAGCTGAAGTTCAAAGAAGATGAAAGTAGGCAGAGTTTTCCTGCCCTGACCACATGCTTCTATATAACCAATGCAGAGGCTTAATATTACTTATAAATGCTTGTCCAATAGCACAGGCTTGTTACTAACTAACTCTTACACTTGAGTTAACCCTCATTTCGTATCTATGCTTTGCCATATGGCTCATGGCTTGTTACCTCACTTTGTATACGTTCTGCTTGCTCTGCAGATGGCCGATGTCTCCAGACTCCCCTGACTCCGTGCTTCCTCTTACCATCATTCTCTCTGTGTCAGGCTATCTGACCCAACCTCTTCCTGCCCTGCTATCAGCCAGTCAGTAGGTGAACTTCAGAAAGCAGAGGCAAGCTATTGGTTTGATACCCACATACCACAAGAACATCGGCTATGGGCTAAAGTATCATCTGTTTATGAATTTAACTTGACTCTTGAAGTCTTTGCAAGAGTAGGCTCAAGAGAGCCATGAGAGTAGACCTCAATATGCAAAGGACTGAGTGGAGAAGAAAGGTTGAGAATTAACCCCCAATGAATAGGACTTCTAGATGACCTTTTCAAGACCTCTTAACCCAAAGGGAAAATGAGAGCTAAAATGAACAACATATAACATGAAACTGAGTTGCAGGGGCAGGAGAGATTCTAGAATATATATGTAGGCTAGGGAAGAGGGGCCAGAGATAGAGACTGTTTGCAGACTCAAAGAAGTGAAGGGAGTGGGAAGAATTTGTCATAGTCAAATCCCTTTGGAGGAGCACATGCCCATGTGGCATATCTTCACTTTTCTTCTAATAAACGATTTCCCTTAATCTGAGTTCCTGATACCCTACACGTATTAATGCCAACTGTCGTCTGTCCATTGGGAAATGAAGCCCAAGTCTACACATATTAAGGTGTGTGCATACCAATGTAAGTACACAACTTACCCCCTGAATTTTGGTTCAAGGACTCCATGTTCAAGGTATCAGGCCAACAGATGAGTTTTTCCCTGCTCGATTTCAACTTGGAAATGTGACTCAGAGCAGAAATCACTCTCCTGTCAAGGTTTGCACCTTGAGAATGAAACCAACACAAAGAAAAAGAGCCAAGATGAGTTGGGAGCACTGCTACGTGCTGATGGCTTCTGAGCACAGCACAGGCTAGTCTTTTTCACTTTAGCATCAATTAACGAACCCAGTCATATAGATTTATAATGCAAAACTTTCGTCTCAGTGTAGGAGATGAAACATGGATATGTATTAGGTGAGCTACTCTACCACTGGGCTATACCCCTCCTCCCAATCCTCCTTTGTATAATATGTTGTTTTAGAATATGTACACACTGGAGATCAGTTACACAGATCTAATCAATATGTGCTTTACCTCACACTGTTATACCTTTTGGGTGGTGAGAAGAGTTAAGATCTAGTCCCTTAGCAATTGTCACGGATGCAATGTATTGCTATCATATTGTCATCTCATTATAAAACATTTCTCTCCATGGAGTTATCAATAACACAGGGTAGAGCCTCTTTGAACACAACTTTCTGTTGCAGCTGAATATAGCTAACACTAGTGGAGAGAAGCTGGAAAGGAGAGGGTGCTCCACCGAAGGGAGTATCCCATCCCTCATTCTCCAAGAGGAAGACTAAAATAAAAAGATATGAGATGGTATCTGTTCTTGTCCGAGAGCTACTGTTTTCTTTATGAATGGGCATGCGTTCACTCCTTTAGGAGATGGTGTGCGTTTTTTTTTTCTGTCAACTTGGCATAAGCAAGAGTCATTCGCAAAGAGGGAACCTCAGTTGAGAAAACCCTCTATTAGACTGGCCTGTGGTCAAGTGTATGGGCACATTGTCTTGACTAGTGATTGACGTGCGAGGGCTCAGCCCTCTAGGGATGGTGCCACCCCCGGGAAGGTGTTTCTCAGTTGTATCAAAAAGCCAGCCAAGCAAGTGAGGTGCTCAGTAAGTCAGTAAGTAAGTAAACAGCTTTCCTCCTTGGTTTCTGCTACAGCTCTTGGAAACAAACCCTTTCCTTTCTCAAGTTTCCTTTGATCATGGTGTTTATCACAACAAGAAACAAGAGAAGAAAGGGAGTGTACAAGCTTCAGATTAATTAGAACTATGAGCAAGAGAGAAAATAATTTGTAAAATTTGGAAAGAGATGTCCTCCTGTTTTGTATTTTGAGCAACTTGTACATTGAATATTTTCTGTGGTGACAAATTTCAGTTAAATAGTTTGTAACCATGATGTTCCTTCGGGAGCAAAAGTTTTGCCTATAGCTAAGCTCTGAGCTCAAGATTGACATATTAGTTATGTTAAGGAGGAGAAGACTTGAAAATAAAACTAATTTCAGATTTAACATCAGCTGATTTCTAAGATGCAGGACATTGGGAATAAGTGGGCTACTGTGCAGGGGAAATTTTGTGGTTAGAAACACAGTTGGCCCTTTCAGTCTTTGCTAAGTGAGCCTCCAAAAGGAATGAAATAAGGAGCAATTCACTGGATTTCACTGACTCAGGCATGTGTAGCAGGAGAGTTATAGTAACATTCTTTGTTTTGCTTGTTGTTCAGGCAGCAATTGGAGAATTTAAATGGTGAAAAGGTAGTATTTCCTCAGTCATTCCTGTGTGTGTTTCAAAGACCAAGCCCTTCTAATTCGATAGGGGAGAGCTAAGGCTTCTTTAATTTTAAGGAGCAGTCCATTAAATCCATTCTACTGAGGCCCTCAAGCAACAGAATTTAACAAGCTTGCATCCTGATGAGTGCACCAAAGGTAGCACTGCCAAGAAATAAAAGAATAGAGAAAGATTTATTGTTGAGAGCCAGTAAAGAGATCATGGGAATTCTTTTCTAGCAATGTTTTCCTTTAATAAAGAAAACACGAACTTTTATTTGGGATGGGCAGAATGTCTGTAACCATCTCTATCTGTATAGCTATACAGTTGGGGGGCAGTCACATTTTTGGACATGTTGAAAGATACATTACTAACACATTTGTTTCAGAATCATCAGTCTAGAAGAAAAGGTGGCAGGAACAGTTTTTGGCATGCTTAGCCCAAGACATAGAGCACATTCTTGAAAGGTTAAAAATATACACACTTCTGAATGTGCTCATCTTGTGTAATAAAAGTGACAGTCAGGACTGCTTCTAGTCATGCTCGAATATCATCATGAAATTTTATTCCATGTTGTCAGAAGGTCCTGTGTAGACTACTGGGGAAGAATTGTCATCAACAGTCTTATTCAGCTGCAAATGCTGTATGCAACAATAGTGCCTGGCCAGGCAATATTAACCCACTGGTACCATAATGGCACATCTGTTATGGGTAACAATTGCTTTCTGATAGGATGCCTGCTTCCTGTTTCACAGGAAGAAATTCATAGTTGCTACTGTGAATCCAACTGAAAATTCCGTGTTTGGGGAGTTCAGCAAGGCACTGCTGAGCCAAGCCATCCATCTTTGCAAAGTTAGAGTATACCACAAGCCATACTCTGAATTTAACAGCTGGCTATCTATATTTGAAATTTACACATCTGTGATTCAATAGGTTAAGGATCAAAATTAGTCATAAAATTGCACCTACACAGAACACAGACTTTTTCTTTAAGTTAATTTCACAAGTAATACATAAGAACTATTTTCATGGAATGTATATTTTATTAGGCATTATACATAATCTAGGTATAATTTTTCAGTATGGGTCAGATATGCACATATATGTGCAAGTACCATGACATTTTATATGAGGATTTCAATCATTTGCAGATTTGAATCTTTAGGGACTTAGAATCAATTCTTCATAAATACCAAAGGACCGCCAACTGTGTATTGATTCAACAAGCAATGCATGATCATGAGTCAAAGACCCCTATATAAGATAGATATAGGGGTCTGCCTAAAGACTGTCATTCAAGCAAGAGACAGTACCCTAACCTCCTTAATGTCTGGTCTTTCTCAATAAACATTATACAAGCTTATTACAGAACCCAGTTTGCTCTAATTCTTTTGGGTCTCAGTGTTTCCCTGTGCTTTAAATATGTTTACTTTTTAGACAACATTTGAGAGTTGTGGAAGTCAGAAGCATCTTAGCCTCTTCCTGTAGAAGAACACACTGAGAGTAGGCATAGGAGAGCAAAAATCATTTGCAAAAGTGTGATATCCGGCGCATTTTGTTCCTCTGGAAGTCGGCAGGTTTCTGCGCCCTGCTTTCTCTCTGATGCATCAAGCGGATACAGAGAATCGGCAAACCCAGAGCCTTGCGGGTCCCCAGCTGCATCTCCTACTGAAGGGGAGGCATGGAGCTGCACAGCCATCTGGCCCATCATTCCTGTCAAGTGATGCTTTGCAGCGTCATCTGATAAAGCTATGTGGCATAACATGGCAAGCTGTGATACAATGTACCATGGAGAATGTGTGAATATCCCAGGTGACCTGCTTCCAGCCCCACCTCCTCAGGGCTCCATTATTACTTTCTGATGATAATGAGAACAAACTCAAGAAAAGGAGTAATTGCTGTATGTCTCAAGCTTCAAGCTCTGAACAAGCAGTTTTAGACGATTAAATCTATAACAACACAAGCTGTCTATATTCTTGTACATAGAAGCCATTTGAGAAACAATTTTGTCTTTAAACCATCTTTATTTTTTCTCAGTCACGTTACTGTGTTTATTTTCCACAGACACCAAGTTGAATATGGTAATATCTCTTTCAGTTTCCCATCATTAGTTTGATATCCAGTAATTCACTCACTAGGTTAGTGCTCATCAAAACATGGCCCAACAAACTCGCCAACAGTGAACATCCCCAGAAACACCAAATCACAAACTTTTTAGACAGAACCCAACATCTACCAAGCCACATGGATGCATTCTGAATTGAGAAACACTGCATTAGAGGCAGAAAAGTTGAACTGTAAACGTGTTATCATAGTGTTAGGAGGGCTCAAATTTGAAAAGGCCAAAGGTAACTTGAAACATTTACACTTGTTTTCAGTAAATAATATGATATTATAGGATTTTAAGCCAGAAACTAAGGTTAACAGTCTAGATTTGCTAAGGAAATAAGGTTGCAAATGAATTCAAAACTAAGAAGGCCATTGACCACTCCAGGGTTTACCCTGGCATTTAGAGATGTTGGAAGCAGGGGAAATAGTTCCCCCATCCATTTACCAAATATCTGTTTAGGGTAACTGGCAACCTCTCTTTCACTTTTGGGTCCATGTTAAACTGGAAATTTAACTTGATACTAAAGCATATATAGAGATATTATTTTAATGACAGAATACAAGTATTTGTGATAAGAACAGTAATTTTAAAATATTATGCTGATGCTAAGTTTTTTGTTAAATTATTCCTGGCATTTTAGAGACCAAAGATCAAATATTCTTCTTCACGTTATGGGTTTCTGCTTAAAAGTGAGATGATAATTTTAGTCATCCAGTAAATTACTTTTCACCCCCAAATTTTCCTGATCTCTACTCCGTGACTCGGAAGTCTAAAACCACATCTGTGTCCAAATTGAAAAGCCTAACAGTAAATGCTCACCTTGCTTAAGAGGGTCCATCTCATTGATTTCCCGGGATGATGTGACAGATGGCAAGACAGTCCTTGTAACTAGAAATGAACCAACATTTTCTTCGGAAGGTTTCACAGCAGAAGGATGATGGATGAGGGGCAGCCAACAGCTCGTTCACCTGTGGAGCAGTGAGCACAGCTGTTCAGGGAGACCCTCACGTGCCTTGGGGAGCAGATAAAAACAAGGAGCCCTGGGATAGCGATTCCTTTTCCAGAAAACTGGGAGTAGTTCAATTAAAGTAATACTGAGACAACTTCATTTTAAAAGTGGATTTAATTACATCGGGGAAAGTATTAAGTTTACTTGAATGATAAGCGCCAAGTATGAAGCCCTCAATTGTTTAAATTTCTGATAAAACTATACCAAATAATTCTATACATACAACTTCTAACAAATACTATCCATGTATCATACATTTACATATATAAGTGTGTATATACAGAATCCAGACCATACTTCAGTTTAGAAAAGTCAGTGGGTTAGCTCCCTGGTTAATAGTCTCATGTAATTATTTAACATAATACAGTTATTATTTAACTATATTTTTCAACAAAAAGAATGCTATGCTTGGGCTATAGAAATGACTCAAGAGTTCAGAACATTTGTTGCTCTTGCGGAGGAGGTGGGTTTGGTTCCAAGCACCCACATGGTTGTTTACAGCCATCTGGAACTCCAATTCCAGGAGATCCAACACCCTCTTCTGACCTCTGTGGGCACCAGGCATGCATGTGGTGCACATACATACATGTAGGTGAGACACTCCCACATATAAAATGAAATGAACAAATCTAAAAAGAATTTTAAAAAAGAATTATATGCTATAAGAAATATTTGTACAATTTTAATAAAAAAGGGCTTATTTGTTAGCCAGGCAGTGGTGGCATATGCCTTTAATCCCAGCATTCAGGAGGCACAGGCAGGCGGATCTCTGTGAGTTCAAGGTCAGCCCGGTCTACAGAGCAAGTTCCAAGACAGGCTTCAAAAGCTACAGAGAAACCCTGTCTTGAAAAACCAAAACCAAACAAAAAAAGAGACATATTTGTTAACATGAGCATTTAAAGACTTTTAAAAGTTCAGATGATCATTAAATTTAAATAGTATTTTCCACACCTCCAGTAAATGAATAAGTTAAAGTAAAAATCATTTGGCAGATAAATACAATTTTAAATAAAAATACATCAAAGACTGATTCTGTTCTTTCTTTAAAACACAATAGTGAGCTGGGGGAATGTAGCTCAATTGGTAGAGTACTTCTTTAGCATGCATGAAGCCCTGGGTTTAATCCCACACCATAGAAAGTGAGTATAGTGATGGATGGGTGGCCATAACTGGGATGTAGACCCAGGGATTAGAAGTTCATAGTCATCTTTGGCTACACGGTGAGCCTAGTCTGCATGACATTCTGTCTCGAGTTTTTAAAAAATGAAATGAAACTAAATAGTGGCAACCCAAGACTTGATAAGACCTAGGATGTTTTCACATATTTCAAGTAGTGTCTGTTTGGAAAGATGCAACAAGAGTTATTGCATAATATACTACAGTGTAGTATAGCAGGGCTCCCACATATGTTCCCCGAAGCCCCAGGTGGTGTGTAAAGGCAGCCTCTCATCTAGTCTGAACAGCTGGAGATGCACAAGACAGCCCCTTACCTTTCTCAGTTTCCTTCTCTGTAGCTATGACCCCAGCATTATGAAAGTATGGAAGGCTGAGGAATAGCAGATTTCCAGATATGGCATTCTCACATAGGGTTGGTTTCTCCTTCTGACTGCCCAGCAGCTGTAGCCACAACAGTGATAACTGAAGTTGCACCACTTCTAAGAGCTTCAAGAAGTACATTCATTAGTAATAAGGATCCTGAATAATTCAAGGTCACTCATTCCTCTCTGTTTCAAAGAGTCATTTCTGCATCAGCTTCAGGTAACAGAGAGGGAAGTAAAGTATCTTCCAGTGCTGTTGGGAGCATAGAGCTTGGGAAACAGTAATAAAGACCCAAACCCCAGGTGACAGCATCTTGTAAACCAACCCCCAAAGGAGTTACACAGGAATGGAATAAAAATCATTCTATTAATTCTTTGGAAAATGCAGAGTCATGCTTATACATTTTTAAAGGAACTGAATATAATACCAATCATCAGAAGGATGCTAATACTTTTTAATGAGTTCACATTTCCTCCTAAGTTATAAATATAACTTTATGTCTTATTTCTAAAGAAGTCCAGACTTAAAACTTATCTGTTTTAATCTTGTCAGGATCTTTAAAAAGTATAATTATACAAACCAAATGTATTACAATTTTACAGAAGGGAATCTTCAGGATTTTACATCTAGGGAATTAATTGTCACTTATTGCAAAACGTCTGAGGCTGACCAGGTGGCTCAGTGGGTATTTTGCATCAAGCCTGAGGAGCTGAATACTAGAACCCATGTGGAGGGAGAAGAAAACCAATTCCTACAAATTGTCGTCTATCTTACACACACACACACACACACACACACGTAAACATACATAATACACATAATACACACACCTACATAGAGACAGACAGACAGACAGACACACACACACACACACACACACACACCTGAGGGGAGACAGAGTCAGAGAGAGACAGAGAGACAGAGAGGAATAAATGAAACATAATTTCAAAATTAAACCAACACTTGAACCCAAAGCACAGGCTTGTTAGTTCATGTGCAGTAGTGTAGCTGCTGGGGAGCCAGGACACCTGAGAGTTCATGCTCCACTGTGACAGGAGGGCGAAAAGCCTCCCTGGAATGTCCTACAGTCAAGATCAGTTTGGATGAGTATGAAGCCAAGGATAAGCAGTTTGCCCTTTTGTTTTTGAAAAGCATTCATACCTCACCATTAATCTATTCAATGTAGAAACTTGAGATCTATGAAAAAATGGAAATTGATAAATGATAAGGCAAGAAAAAAGTCATTATTTGTCTGTGTCTATATAACCCATATTGATTTCCTGTGAGCAGGTAAGAAGAAAATTCAGAAAGAAAGCAAATCTATTTTGCATTAAATCTCCACCTGCCTGAGTGCAGACTTGGAGGTGAAACCTTATTTAGTTTTGCACATTCTATTAAGCCAACGTAGCAATGGAAAAAATGTCTGAATGTTTTCTTTCTAAGTGCCACCATGCTCAGATTTGAACAGATACCATGGATTGATTCTGTCAGTTAAGAATCTGTACCCATAAAAAGAGTTGTCTAAGGTCCTCAGTCAAACAAACTTAAATTAGATAGTTTTTAAATACTAGGAATGATTAAGATATACCTAAAGCAATTTTGGCAAATTGACCATTGGAAGTCTTAAACTTGGCCAGACTTCTGGACTCATTGACTTTTGTTTAGTGGAACTTTGTAGCTACTATGGCAAACCATGGTTCAAGCCCAAAGTTACATCAAAGTGCCTCCTCTTTCCTCCTGGTCCCTCTCACCACTTTCCCCTTTCCCCTTCTCTTTTTGTGAAGGGTTAGGTTATGAATCAATCCAGTTGCCATTTTACATTGAAAGCTACTGGTAAGGTATCTTTGCTAACATGGTAGTTTCTGAAAACTTTGGTTGGTAATTGACTCTCCAAATCTGAGACAGCTTCAGCAAGCAAGCAGGTAGGGTCAGTCAGGCTTCCTTTTCCATCATGACCTGCTCTAGGGGTTGGTCGTAGGGATTTCAGGTCATCCAGAATCTAGGGGATGGCTCCTCATGGCAAACAGGTACTGATGGAGGCAAACAAACAAACATTGTTCACTCCCTGTTTTAACACATAAATGTGAAGAGTGTAACTGGAAAGAGAGCAAATGGACGCCTGATATGTTATAGTTAAACCTACTTAGGCAGTCCTATATGTCAATCAAGAATTCTGCATGAATGTTTGTATATGCTGAGTCCTTTCAGAAAGAGGCTAAGTTGCATCAAATGAGCTAAAAAGTCTAAAGTTCTGAGCCCACATAGCTGTGGGCTTCAAGTCTTTGCATCTTTCAAAACAAAAGATTCTTATTGTTACAATAAATGAATATAATTAGAAGACATACCAGCTTATCAAATTCACTTTATGAAGTCAGGAAAAATTGCATGTTGAAACAAAGGATTTATGGTTCTCTCTCTCTCTCCCCCTCTTTATCTCTGTCTCTTTCCATTCATTTATGTATATGCTCACAAAAAGTTTATGGGTCAGTATTATTTATGAGGCTTTAAGAGAAAATCATAAAGAAATGGTAAGCCATGAAGTAAAGGACTATTGTACCAAAGTAGCTTTAGTTCTATGGATACAAGCAAGGGTGGCTGATATTTTGGAATTGATATTATAATATATTGGTAAGTCCAAAAAGAGATGTCTGGACGTAGGACCCATTTGTTAGTCCCTTCCCTTCCCAACCCTTGGAAACCACCAATTGTTTCTTTAGGTTTGTTCTTTCTTTCTTTTTTTTTTTTTTTGGTTTTTCGAGACAGGGTTTCTCTGTCCTGGAACTAGCCCTTGTAGACCAGGCTGGTCTCTAACTCACAGAGATCTGCCTGCCTCTGCCTCCCGAGTGTAGGTTTGTTCTTTCTAGAATTTCATGTAAATGGAATGCAGTATGTGATGCGATGTTTGTAATTAGTTTCTAAACTTTTAAAAAAATATGTGTGTATGCGTGTGTGCACATGCATGTGCACATGAGAAACGAGTTCCTATGGAAACCAGAGATGTCCTATTCTCTGGAGTTGGAATTATAGGCAGTTGTGAGTCCCAGACATAGGTGCTAGGAATTAACTCTGGTCCTCTCTAAAAAAAATACACACTCTTCCCCTGAGCCCTTAAGATCTATTCATAATTTATCAATACTTAATTTCTAAGGCAGGTATTCTATTTTTGCCTACCCTTCAAGTGCTGAACATTAAAATTGTTCTGCTTTTGCTATTATACCGCTGTTAGTAATGCTTGCTTAAGAGTTTTGAATACACATGGCTCTTCAAATTCTCTTGGTTGGTAGCCAAGT